TAAAATCTTTAAAAAAAATAATAAAATAAAGTATAAATTCAATTTCTCTAATAGATAAGACTATCCAGGCTATCAATTTATTATTGAATTAAGTTTTGGAAATTTATCCATTTAAGTCATCTTATTTATGTGAATAGATTGGTTTGTGGCAGTCTCTTATTATCATGTTGATATCTGTGGAGTCAGTGGTGATATCCCCCTGTCATTCCTGGTAATGGCAACTTTTCACTTTCTTTTTTTGCTTTGTCAATCTGGCTAGAAGTTTATACATTTTATTGACATTTTCAAAAATATTTATTTATTTTAGTATTTATTTGAGAGAGAGAGAGAGAATGGGGGAGGGACAGAGGAAGAGGGAGAGGGAGAGAGTCTCAAGTAGACTCCACACTGAACTCAGAGCCTAATGCGGGGCTCAACCTTACAACCCGAGATCACAACCTGAGCTGAAACCAAGAGTCCGATGCTTAACCAACTGTGCCACCCAGGTACCCTAATTTTATTGACATTTTAACGAACTAGATTTTAGTTTTATTAATTTTCTCTATTGTTCTTCCTGCTTTCAATTTCATTGATTTCTGCTCTTACTTTTGTTAGTTTCTTATTTGGAAACTAGTTTAGTTTTCTTTCTCTAGTTTCAGGTAGAAACTTAAATTATTAATTTGAGGTCTTTCTTCTTTTCTAAAGCAAGTTTTTAGTGCTATAAATATTCTCTAAGCACTGATCTATACCCAGCCTCCTTAGAGATATGTACTATCAGCTTAACAGACTTTATACATATCAACTATGCATAGAACATTTTGACATTAACTTTTTAATTGTTACTGATCAGTCTTTTTCTTTCACTTCTGAAATAATTTTAAGATTTTATTTATTTATCAGAGAGAGAGATCACAAGCAGGGGGGAGTGGCAGAGGGAGAAGCAGACTTCCTGCTGAGCAGGAAACCTGATACAGGACTTGATCCCAGGACGCTGGGATCATGACTAGAGCAGAAGGCAGATGCTTAACTGACTAAGTCACCCAGGCGCCCTCAATTCTGAAATAATTTTCAAACAACAGGAAACACCATTTGTATTCTGAGTTCAGACTTGTTTTTACTCTTATTTGAATATTAAAAGCTTGAAATCAACATAAAAAAACTAGATACTAAAAACATTTAGGGGCGCCTGGGTGGCTCAGATGGTTAAGCATCTGCCTTCGGCTCGGGTCATGATCCCAGGGTCCTGGGATCGAGCCCCATGTCCAGCTCCT